CCTTTGTTAGTCTTGTATCATTTTTTATTTTAGTTTCCTGTGTATAATTTGGAGTTTAGTATGACGTCCATTATCACTGAACTAGTATACATATTTGTTTAGGGGCCAGCTGAAGGACGCCTCCGGGTGCGGGAGTTTCTCGCTGCATTGAAGACCTATTGGTGGCTTTCGGCTGTTGTCTGCTCTATGGTCGGGTTGTTGTCTCTTTGACACATTCCCCATTTCCATTCTCAATTTTAGTATTTGTTTTTCGGTCATTATTTTGTACGTAAATAAGCCCATTAGTTTTCTCGTATGAATTGTTTTACATTTGTCCTTTCGGGGCCTTTTATAGCTGACAATGAGAAATGGGCTTAAAAAGTCGTAAGGTGACTTATAGTTTTCTGTGTCCTTTTGGTCTTTTGTTGAGAGTTGTCTAATTGGCAATCATACCACATCCTTTTTTATATCAAAAACAAAGTCGATGAAATATAAACACGACAAGAACCTTAAATGTTTGCAGACATTGGGATGCAAAGCAAGTTGTTGGAAATAAATACTAAATAGGATAAATAAATCTCTACAATGAAGTACAATGCATCAAATAATGTTTGTGAACATATATGAATAAAACGATACTGTAAATTCATAAATTATTGCGTTCATTTATTATTTCGATATTTTAAGAATCGAATTAAATTAATTTAAATCTTCAATTGCTATTAGTATAATTTAGACATGTTACCGCATTGCAACGATTAAAACAAACCTGTTATCAGATGTAGTATTCCCTTTCATACACGTGTTATTATTTAAACAATTCTGCGTAATCTGAGCATTTATATGTGACCACACAATCATCATAAAGTACGTTAGACATAATCATTCATCTAATGACCGTTGTGAATATCAACATTGTAACCCCTCATGACTACAGTCGTTTTTAAAAGTTTTGAGAATTTCAAATGATTATATAAGAATGCAATACAATTCAGTATTATGCTATTTGATGAAAGTATGTGATTATCTCTGGGACACTTTCACCTTTGATTATTATTACAATCCCATTTACGAATATGTATAATTTATCACATTGCCGTTGTTTACCCAACTATAATTGATATAATGATTACAATATCGACAAATGACTTGTTTAACATGTTATTGTACTTGTTACTCTCTTTATTTTATTCACACACTAATAATAAACTCATCACAGGCTCGTTTATTATTATTTTGAAATTAAATATCTGTAGTTTACATCAAGCGATGTCCATTTCTCACTAGAGAACATGAAATTTGACCTGTCTTAGATGATTTCCAGCTGATCATGTCGTAACGTTGTTAGTGATGATATGCTTTCTATATAAAGATGAGAAGATGTGGTATGATTGCCAATGACACAAATATTCACTAGAGTTAAAATAAAGTGGTAATAAGCAATTAGAGACCGACGTACGACTTTCAGCAATAATAAAAACCAATACCATAAAGTGGGCTATAAAAGGCTCCGATAGGAAAATTGTTAAGCTTATCAAACGAATAACCAACATGTTCTCCAAGACTAAAGAATCAATAAGTACACATTCTACATATCTAGTATTAAGACGTCATAACCATTCAGAGAAACGTCTGACCTATGCAAAGTCAAAATATAAGTAAACAGTATTGGCAGAATGTAGCATCATGAGTTCTCATAACTGGACATTATAGCAATAATTATGCAGTTATATATGAATTTTTCAAAAACATAATCAATGTTCGTACCGATTAAAACAATATATATAAAGGTTTTACTACTGTGTTAAGTTCTTAAAATGTAAGATGAAGTTTATTCAAAGGATCAATAAGTAAACATGGGTCGTGTCTAAATTTACGGACTTTGTAAAGAACATCACGGTCAAATTAAGGATAGGATTAATACCCATGAAAGAATTAGATAAAGGTTATAATTAATTTGTGGTAACGAAATCCCGGCCTAATACAAAATCAGTTATGCATTAATTATTTTAGTTCTTTGAAATCTAAAACGCGATAATAGATACGGGTATGGCGATAAAGTTGTGAAATATACAACGTAAGAAGGACCAAAGGAAAATCACCCTCCAAGAAAAGGAGATTTACCCATCGGGAACGTCAAATCTTCTAATTCCTCATACATTTTACCGTATTTGACGCCTTTTTTACCGGTAGGACGGGTACGGGAAATCTGTGTCCCTTCAGTTCATAAATATCAAAAAATTGAAAGGCCTTTCCCTTTCTAGACGTCACTCAAAAATTCCTTCTGGAATTTTTCACTTCGTCAATAAACCTCTTTCATCATCAGTAAACGCATTTTGTCAATTTTCAAATGATGTATCAAAATGTTCGACCTAGGACATGTAGGGTTGTTCTGAAGAATTTGTAGATTCAAATTTGATGTTTGCCTCGTCATTTTATGAAAAGAAAAAATATACTTATTTTTGTTTTAAATACTTAGAAGTCTGTATATATAAAATGTGTAACGATTATATACAGATTATATTAGGAATATAAAATAGTTTACAGGAAAGTCTTCATGGTTTATGGTTTTAGATATATAGGGTGTTACTTTGTAGAACGTAGAACTGTTTTTCGTCAATGGTGTGTATAACTACCTTCGAGTTTAATTATGATTCTTCGGACACGTGTTTTTTCTTCTTTGTTGACAGCAATGTAATCTATTACATCGAACCCCAACGTGTTCATTACTGCATACTTTTTATACTATTCTGTTTCATAAACTTATTTACTAGTCCTTAAAAAGAAAAAAAACATGATAACAGTTTGTTGAATTATGTCCACTAATCACACGAGTATTTACCTTTTCACTCCTAACCAGGTGAAGAATTTAAATAAAATCATCAATAGTTAAATAGGTGTTTTTAACTACCAAACTATCTGCAGAACGAACTATTTAACTAAATTGGTATATAAGGCACGAGTATTTGCTGTAAGATGTTTATTACCTAATATTAAGAGAAGTGACGAGACCATTAGATTTTTCTTTATCGTAGTCAAATTGATTAAATAGATGTTTATGATTAAATTATTTAGGCTCAAATGCTGTTATAAATGACAGTCTGTTATCTGAAGCACCGTTTCGCCGTTCATATAAATAGATAAGATTATTTACATATATAGGCCGAGGACATACATATACGTTACATAAATCATTTGAACTCTATACATGAAGGTGGAAAATGTTGAGAATAATTCTACCAGGTAAATAACTACAATAAATGAAGTCTGAAGAATAGAAAAGGGAGAGAGAGAGAGATAAGAGAAAGTAAATTAAATGAAGTCTTTAGTATGAAAGAATAAAAAGGGAGAGAGAGATAAGAGAAAGTAAGTTACCTGACATTGCAACAGCTACCTTTTCTTTTTGTGTCTTTTTGTAACTGCAAGAAATTAGTTGACTGCCTAAGAGGTGTTACAGTACCGTTTGTTATACTTCAGTTTTTGTCATTTTGTAATAAAGAATCTCGATCCCTTCTAATATTTCAAACCATTAAGACGAATTTGAAAACTATTCATATCTAATAATTAGTTTTTGTGGAATGAAGGTCAGACTTATATTGAACATTTGTTATCGTGTTGTCATGTCGGAGCATGTTTTAGCTTACCATATTTATGGGTTTTGTTCTATTGAAAAGAAATAGTGAAAAAAAAGATAAGTATTTCAACCTGACTTTTCTACAGGTACCTTTGTTTGTTTTATGGTGTTTTTGTAATTTGCAAGAAATAAGCGTACTGTCTAAGACATGTAACAGTTATCTCAAAATTTTTATCATTTTGTAATAGACTATTTCAATTAGTTTGTATAGTTCAAATCCGGTCAGACGAAATTAAAAACTACCTTAAATCTATACCATGTGGAATCGAAGTCACACATATCTTGTATATTTGTTTATGTCCTGCCATCTTGAAGCCTTTTGTAGCTTACCGTATTGTATGGGTTTGCTCAGTGTTGAAGACTGTTTTGTTTATTACATGTATATCAAATGGCTGATTTGTGGATAGTTGTCTCTTTGGCATTTACCAAATCGTCTTATATTTATACTTTTCATATGCTGCTTTGTATATTTGGGTTGTTACCTCAATTTTTTGGAGCTCCCCTCGAAACCTGCGAGGGTACAGTGGTATCCATGAACGCTTTCTAACAGGATTACTGGAGATGTGACACTAACATATATACAACCCACCACCAAGGACAAATCCCCAACCCGACACTACGGGAGTGCTCGGACACTGGGAAGTCGGTTATTATGGCGGAGAAAGCCGAAATACTCGGCGCGAACTACCGGGCAACTCGGTGGAAACAGACAAACCAAAGAGATATATGAAGATTGATCTCTTGATCTCAACAGTCGGGGACCAATTCGACCAACCGAGGCCTTCAAAGTACCCATTCTAGTTTCAACTCCGGTATGGTTACCAGAGATGTGTGTGAAAGGGTTAATATCCCCCTTCAAAACGTTCTGAAACTTGCAGCGCCCCGAGTCGGGATTGAAGCCGGGGGCGTCAGCACTGTAGCCATAGGTCTCAACCACTAGATCACCAACAAACATATGGGTTGCAATGCAATTTATCTCAATATTTAGAACTGACGTATAGACATATAACTATTGAAAGTCCGACATCAAACCTAATTACAGTTTGCGAACAAGAAACGTATTTGTTTTGAATATCATGTGTTGGATTGTGTCTCATTCATTTATTTTCACGGTCTCCTAGTTCTATTTCTTAATAAAAAAATTAAAAACAAGTCGTTTTTCAATGTCATGCGTCCGAAGTACTTTTCTGGATTTACCTTCATCAGGAATGCTCAAAAACGAATATTCGAAAGCCGATAATTTAAAAGACATTCCTGAAAAATGGCCAAATCCATCTAAGGTCAACTCTACCTGAGGGAGTTGAAACCTTAGTTTTATATCTATAATTTAAAAATTTAAAAAGGAAAATTTTTGAAAAGTTTTTAAGAAACATAATAGCATAAGTAATTTAAATACAAATTGTAATGTTTTGTCTTATAGTTATAGCTTTAGCAGCTTTAGCAAAGAGAGAGCCATTGGCAGCTAGCCAAGGCATTCGTAAGTTTTAAATATATATTCTGATATTATCCTTGCATTAAATGTGATCGTTGACTTTTAAACAATACAATACTAGTATTTGATAAATACCAGAATTAAACAAACAATATATGTAATTAACAATATCAGTTTTTTTTTTGTTATATTTGTTATCAAACATTTAAAACAAACCAAGGCCAGAGATTTGCATATTTCTTCAATTACACATGATAATATATCACCAATAAATGTGTTTTCTGTACCTAGATTTTTGAAATTAGTATATATTTTAAAACAGAATCTAACATAACATGCCGTTGTTGTTCGAGTAATGCGCATTCTATGAAACAAAATTCATCTTCAATATAAAGTCGGTATGCATACTTTTGTCAATAATTTTTCATACACCAAATATTATAGATTGTCCAGCTGGATTTCAAAATGTCCATGGGTCGTGTTATTTGGTCAGCTTGACCCCTACAACGTGGAACGCAGCTAAGGTAAATATCTTGAAGAGTGAATAGTAAGGATCAAGTTGAATTTTAAAAAAGGAATTTGAATTAATGTACGCCTGGTTAAATAATCTACGTTTGATTTACATCTGGTGGTAAATATCCACCATACTCTGAAGGACAGCGATATACTTACAAATCTATCTGGAAAGTTTGCTAAATCATTTGACCGGGAAAAAGCTGAAAAATTTAAATGCCTCTGGGAAAAAAAAGGTATGTTTGATACGAACAGGTATTATATCATGTATTATGTCACATTCGGATCTCTAAAAGAAGAATTGTTATTACATGCACTGATCCTGAAAATCTCCAAATATTGGTAATTAGATTTACCAATCCGTTTCATATACATGCCCTAACATCAGATATGGTTTATCAACGGATTTTATATTGAGTAACACGACGGAACCACTAGTGAAGAAGGATCTGGCGATTCTGAGTTTACAGTTTTTGATTGGGATAGTGTTGCTTAATCTTGAAGTCAGTAGAGATGTTTGTTGATAGTTGTAGGCAATATATTTTTCTGTCGCCGAAATAGATAAGTGCAGAAGACGCAGAGTGGTAGAAAGTTTCAAACGGATTCTTTAAATAGGAACAACAACGGTTCTTTAATTATTGAAGAATTGGCTAATGTAATCGGTTTTATTTTACATTCCGACCGGTACCTAAATAAAAATAATTTCGAATACAGTAATGCCCAATAATTGTTAAATATCTCGGGCATAATCGTTATTATGGACAGACTGAAATATACGGATTAAATGCCAACCATGATTTAGGTGGGCGTGTCATATTTCCAATTTTTTAAAATTTTAATTTGATTTCAGGTAATTTGCCAAAGTCACAATGCACATTTAGCTGATTTCTCTTCTCGTTATGAAATAGTACCTGTCATGCTAGATGCAGTGATTCCGAAGTCATCAAGTTTTAAATATAGGGGTATGTGTACACTAAACTGTTTCTATTTCGTTTCATTTTATATTAAATTTCTTATTGTCAAATCCATGCTGTCTATTTAATGTATTATTAATTATGTTTTAATTGGTTTTATTACAATTACAATAACTATTATCCCTGTCACTGCCTTAAATGTGATCGTATTCAAATGTAAAATATGCATCACACATACGTTATTGTTTAAAGAGTATCTACCCTCAAGCCACTTTTTGCTTGCCTGTTAATATATGAAACAAAAATATTATTAGTTAATGTTTCCAGTCGTAACTATAAAAAATCTATTTTAATTCAAGTCAGCATCATTAAATTTGACATTATTTGTCACCAAAATGGAATTTTTGTATGAATTTTCAAATGATTATAGACAGAAAAAATAACATAGAAGAGATGCAGCCAAAATTATCAAAATCTTGTATTTTTCTTTTGTTGTAGATCCGAAAGTTTGGATTGATGCCATCTATTCGCCAAGCCAAAAACACTGGATTTGGTCTCACGACTCATCGTTAGTTAATTACCGTTATTTTACCCAATTGGCACATAGTCCTGGAACAACAGAAAGATGTGTTTTTGCTATTGTTAATACTGGCATTAATCCTTGGGCTCACGAATTTGATGTTGATTGCGATAAAAGTTACCTTCCGCTATGTGAAGCGAGACCAATCTAATCATGGCTTTTCAACATTCTTATAGCAAAATTTTGTTTATTAAATTGTCGAATTTTATATACCATCTTTACTAAATGGTAATCACAAACTTATATGCATATGCAAATATGCAGCTCTGCAATTATTGTAATGTTAATAAACTAGACGCTCTAGAGAGCCTGTGTTGCTCACCTTGGACTATGTGCATATTCAACAAATGACACTCTCCAACATTGTAGACTATAATTCACAACAAAATCTCTGTTTTGTTGATCTTGGATTGCTGATCATTGAGTCTGTTTAGTTTCTCTCTATCTTCTTTAGTTTTTTTTTATCAAAACACAATTGAAAATAAAAAAAAATTCCTTATTCAAGGTGCTAGGTGATCACTCCTCATAAGATTTCTGATTTTTGTTTATTGGTGTTTTAACGCTTTTTTTAAGCACCGCTTTTGGGCTATTTCGTGGCGGCCAGTTTTTATTGGTGGAGGAAGCCGGAGTGCCCGGAGAAAACCACCGACCTTCGATAGGAAAACTGACAATCCTAGTCAATGAAGATTGAAGTCGAGTGCACCCGCACGAGCGGGGTTCCAACTCACAACCTCAGAGTTGACTGGCTAGTGATTACAGTAGTAACTACTTAGACCACTCGGCCACCGAGGCCCCCTCCTCATAAGAGTGACAGCCTACTAACTATATCAGTGAAATGTGACTTGTTAGTAGATATTGCCTTGCTGATTATTTTTTTGATTTCATATGTCTATTTATCTATGATAATTTGTATTATGTAAGGCACCCCCTCCTCTCCCCTCCCCTCCAAAATTAAAAAAAAAACTCGCTTTGAAAGGGCATGTGCAATAATTCCAAGTTAAGGAGACGTCAAAAGATTTTCTATATATTGTCTTAATTGTAGATCTTATCTTGCTGATCATTTTTGCTAATTCAAGTTTCTATCTATCTATTAAAAATTTTAAGATATAAGGTAAAAATGCAAGCAATTGGTAAAACTCCCTATCAAAGGGCGATAACTCTAATAGGGAGTCGGCTTACGATTTCGACAATGTAAATTTATTTGCAGAACTTTGTCTTGCTGATCATTATTGCAGCAAAAGGTATTATTGTTTTCAAGATAATAGGCAAAAATGAAAAAAAAAAATGGCAAAATTTGTCATTTAACATCAATAACTCCTATCAGAAGTCGTTTGAGGTATATAGACAATTGGTAAAGCTCAACATTCGGAACATTTTTGCCCCGTCAAATTCTCTCTGTTCATAACGGTTTTCAATATAATAGACAAAACTTTAATTTTAACTCTATGTCCTTTTTTTAGGCATAACGGCCATGTTGGTTGACTGGCAGGGTCATCGGACACATGTTTTTTAACTAAAATACCCCAATAATGATTATGGCCAAGTTTGTTTAAATACGGGCCAGTAGTTTCAGCGGGGAAGATTTTTGAAAAAGTTAACGAACGAAGACGACGGACGACAAGTGATGAGAAAAGCTCACTTGGCCCATTGGGCCAGGTGAGCTTAAAAAAATGAAACGTTGTTTTTATGTGGTCATGCAACCTTAAAATCAACTTATCAATTTTATGCATAGCTTGGAAAATCAAAACCGTACAAAATAGACTTAACTCTGCTTACCTGATATAAAGCAGTCACCAAATGTTAATCTTTTCTATCGGTAATGCAACTTGTGCCATCAATTGTCAGGAGATTTTATTTTTTCATTTTCACAATCCAATTATAAGAACTCACTTGCATATGGGCACCGAACCTGGACACTTTTCTCATCATCACCATATAATCAGGACTTATTCGTTTTGAAAATTTGCACGAGTAATCAAATAACGATTAGATTGTTATATACAGTCAATATAATGGTTATTATATTGCCGTGCTGATACAATGTAAACAAACCAACCAGCACAGAATCAGGACAAAATCACCATTTTATAACATTCTACCACAGCATAACATAAGTCACCATTATCATATTAATTCTTTCAACGAGAAAAGAACGAATATATAAAACAGTTAAAATATTAAGCATAGTTACTAAAAAACTATTTTTAAATGCATCTGTGTTTGTTCTGCTTAACGATAAATTTTATAAATCAAATGATTGAACTAACTAATCATTACTGGATCTAATGCTTACATTACAGTTGTCTTTTTAGATCTTGATTCTGCAATTGTTCCATGGATATCTTTTAGCATAATTAGTAACAGTCCTTTTTCTTTTCTGATTCTGATTCACTTAGATGAATCGTTTGATTCTGGATAGTACCATGATCATTTGGTTCAACATGACGTTAACTTCAGTTGCATCTTCATTGACAGTTTCGATTTTAATATTTTTACTAGCATATTTTCGAACTGGAACTAATATGTTATAAATTGGTTATACGTCGATTGAATTTTATACTATCATATGTTTAACCTCGCCACCTTATGTATTAGTTACCACACTATGTATTGAACTGTCCTTCGTCAGACGCCTGTAATTCGGTAGTTGTGTCTGAATATCACATTTGGATTTCGTTAATTGTTATGTAAATAAATCAGGGCATTAGTTTTCTCGTTTGAATTATTGAAGATTTGTCATTTCGAAGCCGTTTATAGCTTGCTATGGATTATGGGTTTTGCTAATTGCTGAATACCCTACAGTTACCATCAGTTACTAACCGTGAGTATTCCCAATGAAAGAAAAAACATAAAATCGCTTTGAACGTATAAGTTTTAAATTGTGAAGTTTTCATTTTCCATGGACATTTGGTTCATATATATTAACAGGTTTTTGTCACTTATTTAAGAGTATTTTCGTAAGGTTAAATGGTCGTGTTCCTATTCCTAATAATGAAAGAGACATAATGAGTTTCCATTTGCATACCAGTCACTTGTCGGTAAAAGTTTTTTTTTTTGGAATATAGTTAAATACATATACACGCATATCTTAATAATTCGGAAATTATATATTTTACTATATATAAACAAGAATGTCTCCATAGTACACGGATGCCCCACTTGCACTATCATTTTCTATGTACAGTAAACCGTGAAATGGGGGTCAAAACTCTAATTTGGCATTAAAATTAGAAAGATCATATCATAGGAAACATGTGTACTAAGTTTCAAGTTGATTGGAGTTCAACTTCATCAAAAACTACCTTGACCAAAAACTTTAACATGAAAATCTTTAACATGAAAAACTTTAACCTGAAGCGGGACAGACCGACAAACGGACGAACGCACGAACGCACGAACGGACGCACAGACCGAAAAACATAATGCACATAAATGGGGAATAAAAATCGGAGTAAGAAAGTGTAATTTTGATTTCTTCCATGAAAAGACGTCGTTGCAGCTTCCAACTATTGCTTTTGGTTCTAACAGCATGGGCGGTGCTTAATGTGGTTTAGATTATGAATTATCGTAACCTATAATTCTCTAATATTTATAAATGTCGCAACAGGAAAGTCAACGTACTTCTGTATGTTTACCCAAAACAAGAAGTTGAATACCACAAGATCTGAATGTTAGCCTTTGAAATACAGGAATGTTTCTTTATATTTTTATGTCATTATTATATGCAAATTCTGTTTGTAAAAAAATAGTAATTAAATGATAAAATTTAGTTTTTCTTTATAACTGGATATTTTTTGGTATACGCTAATGAAGACATCTCAGTTAAAAATGTTGGTTAAAGTATTGCAGAAGTATTTTTCAGGTGATCAGTCTAGCAGAGTTGAAGAGATGTTTAAATAACACTATTGTATCTAAAAGCATGGGTTTGCTTCATATATAAGAATAAACTCTTCAATATACCTGATTCCCACATTTACATCTAACGAAAATATCAGAATAACAAAACTAATATAAGGTATATTTGATGATTTTGAATCTGTCGTCATTTAATATTCAGAGTTACCCCGCCAGTTTATGATAGTTGCCAATATGTTTAAATTCAATCATATAACTTATCATAAGTATTTTAAGTGAATTGTGTAAGTTTTAAGAGTTCGGTGCTTATTCACGTTTTTCTTAGTTGTCTGAAGGCCCTATAGAAAATAAGAGGTTGTATTATTGCCAATGAGACAACTATCCACAAGAGTTCAAATGACGTGGATATTATCAATAAAAGGTCACCGTACAGTCTTCACCAATTAGAAAAACTTATTCCCTCAGCTATAAAATGCCCCGACATTAAAAGTGTGAAACAATTAAAACGACAAAACTCATGACTAATATAAGGCACATTAAGAATGTGGCGATGATAAACATGTTTGTGAGCATTCAACCCTCAACCCTCAACAACACAACATACAAACAAATCATAATAATCAGTCACAAATTGCTTGTTGACTCAATGCATCGGTACAAAGCAAATAAACAAAACTCGATTAAAATAAAACTATAAAAACAAAGCAGCGATATGATAGTACTCACAATTACTGAAAACTTGTTCAAAGTCAATTACAATTCATAAATAAATCATGTTCTCCCAGACTAATCTATCAATCAGTACACCTTTTGCACTGTCAAATTATAAGAAAACAGTATCGACAGGATGTAGGATTATGAATTATCATAACTTCACATATATCGAAATATATATTTAGATATGTTTTAATTTTTTCAAAAATAAAATCAGTGATCGAAGAAATAAAAATTGATAACCTTTTAAATAAGTTTATTAAAAAGGATCAATAAGTTCACATGGCTAGTATCTAATTTTACGGGCTCTATAAACAATATTACCGTAAAATTAGGATGTGATATCCAATTTTTAATTATAATTGGACATGTGCAGCCAAATTTCCTAATTAAATCTTTGTATCTATGAAATAATTAGTAAAATTAATTTGTGGTGACGGAATTTCGAATTTCATACGTTCATTGAAATCTAAAACGCGACTACAAACACGGTCAAAGCGAAAAAATTTGAAATATACACATCGTAAGAAGGGACAAAAAGCAATTTAGGGTAAAAAAAAAACGGGAAAAATATGGAACGAAAAATCGCCTCGTTGTCGTAAATGAAAAACAAATATTTCAGACAACAACCAAAGACAA